CCAGGAGGGCCAGGAGGACCGCCAGACGGTACAACAGGGCCCAAATCGCCGAAAGATCGGCCCAATGCGCCCAGGATGGCATCAAAACGGTCCAAGAGGCCAACGAGACGGCCCAAAAGAGCCTGAAGAAGCCTCCCAACGGGGCCCCAGGAAACCATAATAATCAACGTGCCAATGACATTGAAGTTTTTCCCCATCTCCTAAGTGGGTTTGTTGTCTGGACACCCTGCGCGCAGGATCTCCTCCTCACCCCCCTCTCTCTCACTCTCCCTCATCATCATCATCATCATCATCATCATCATCATCACCATCATCATCACCACCACCATCATCATCATCATCAGCATCATCATCAGCATCAGCATCGCATTCATCACCACTCGTCGTCATCATCATCATCATCATCACCCACCCACGTACCCACCCACCCACCCACTCACTCACCCACTCGCCCACAAATTCACTCACCACCGTCAGTCGTTCATGTCACCCGAGGAAATCTCAGGCGGTACCCCCCCCCCTATGGGTCCCGCGCTTCACGATGGTAGTCCGCGCGGGTCAATGGCAACCTATAACCGTCGCCACTTTTGGGTTCCTCGGGCCTGAATTTGAAGGAAATATCAAGCGGGAGCCTCGTCTGTGAGTGAATTGTGAGAAAGTCTCAGGCGGGAGCCCTCTCCCTATGGGTCCCGCGCTTCGCGTTGGTAATCCGAACGGGTCATCGGCAACTTGTAACACTCGCCACTTTTGGGCTCCTCAAGCCTGAATTCGAAAGAAATATCAAGCGGGAGCCTCGTCTGTGAGTGACTTGTGAGGAAGTCTCAGGAGGGAGCCCTCTCCCTATGGGTCCCGCGATCCACGTTGGAAATCCGAGCGGGTCAATCGTCACTCGTGGGCTTCCCAGGCTTGAAATTGGAGGGGGCATCGAACGGGAGCCGCGCGTGTGAGTGAATTGCGAGGAAAATCTCAGGCGGGAGCCCCCTCCCTATTGGTCCCGCGCTTCACAATGGTAATCCGAGCGGGTCATCGGCAACCTGCAACTACTCCTACGGAAGCACCACACATGAGAACCTGTTTAGATTGCCCTTACCCTTTATCCTCCTCGCCCTAACGGACACTCTCCTCTCGCCCGCCGTGCTGCCCTCACCTAATCCCCCTCCATTTATTTGCCCCCCCTCCTTTTCCACTTCCTCCTCATCATCACCCCCTCCCTACCCTTTCCCCGTCCTCGTCCTTCCCTTGCTTCTTCTCCGCGCGCCCCTCCCCGTCCTCCTGGTCGGGGCGAGCACATCGATTTTCCCCGGCGCTTTCGCCGCCGCGGCCAGAACACGCGCATTCCCCGACGGCTGGTTCGCGAAGCCTTTGGGGCAACCCCGCGGGCCGATGGGGCGCGGGGGCAGGCGCTCGGGACAACCCCGCGGGCCAAGCCGTTGGGACAACCCCGCAGGCTTCGAGCGGGGCGAACCCGCGCTCAGGCGGGAGGCAGCGTGAACCCAACTGCGGCGAGCTGCTCGGCCTCATCCCTGGACGCCCCTGCTCTCTAGTCAAATTCCAGGAACGCCTTCCGCAAGGAAGCCGGCGGCCCGCGCTCCAGAAACTCGCGCGAGGGCGGCCGCGGGATCAGCATGTTCCACGCGCGCGTTGCACGGGAGAACGTGACGTAGACGTGCATCCACCACTGGTCGTCCGACGTGCCCGTGCGGCCAGCGTTCTCGTCCCTCGCGCAGTCGACGGTGGCGTCCTTGCGGAGCGTCTGGCCCTGCGACAACGTGGAGGTGAGGTAGGACGCGCGAGTCAGAGTGAACCCCGAGCGGCGCACGGCGTGCGACCCCGAGCTCTGCCACGTGAACTCCTGCTCGCTGGGCCTGAATATCGGCAAGCTCCGAGCCCGCGCCTCGGCCTGGCCGTCGTCGTCGGCGCCTTCGGAGCCCTGTCGCAACAAATTTGCGACAGGGCGCCGAAGACGCCGACGAGGCCCCCGGGAAGGCGAACAGCAATCAAATAGCCTGGGGGCCCCCCCGGGGTCACCGAGGTTCGCCGAGCGCGCGGCGGGCGCCTTCGCCACGCGGGCGGCGCGCTTGGCGGCCACCAGGGGGCAAGTCAAGCGTTGCAGCCGCTTGCGCTCCTGCGTGTCGGGCCGCGACATGGCCGCGACGCCAGAAGCGTGGGGTCAGCGCAGCGTGGCGCAGCCTCGCTAGAGCTGGCGCAACAAGAGAACCGCCCTCATCGTCCTCATCCTCATCGTCTTCGGCGCCCTGTCGCAAATTTGTCGCGACAGGGCTCCGAAGGCGCCGACGACGACGGCCAGGCCGAGGCGCGGGCTCGGAGCTTGCTGATGTTCAGGCCCAGCAACAGGAGCTCACGTGGCAGAGCTCGGGGTCGCACGCCGTGCGCCGCTCGGGGTTCACTCTGACTCGCGCGTCCTACCTCACCTCCACGTTGTCGCAGGGCCAGACGCTCCGCCAGGGCGTCGCTATCGACTGCGCGAGGGACGAGGACGCTGGCCGCACGGGCACGTCGGACGACCAGTGGTGGCTGCACCTCTACGTCACGCTCTCCCACGCCACGCGCATGCGGAACATGCTGATCCTGCGGCCGCCCTCGCGCGAGTTTCTGGAGCGCGGGCCGCTGGCTTCCTTGCGGAAGGCGCTCCTGGAGCTCGACAAGAGAGCGGAGACGTCCAGGGATGAGGCCGAGCAGCTCGACGCAGAGCTTGGGTTCATGCCGCCTCCCGCCTGAGCGCGGGTGCGCCCCGCTCGAAGCCCGCGGGGGTGTCCCAACGGCTTGGCCCGCGGGGCTGTCCCGACCGCCTGCCCCATCGCCCCAGCGGCCCGCGGGGTTGCCCCAAAGGCTTCGCCAACCAGCCGTCGGGGAATGCGCGCGCTCTGGACGCGGCGGCGACGGCGCCGAGGAAAATCGACTTCCTTGCCCCGGCCAAGGGGAAGGGGAGGAACGCGCGGAGAAAAAGCAGGGGAAGGACGAGGACGGGGAAGGGGTAGGGAGGGGGTGATGATGAGGAGGAAATGGAGAAGGAGGAGGAGGAGGAGGAGAAATAGAAAGAGGGGGAGTAGGTGAGGAGAGTGTCCGTCAGAGCGAAAAGGAAAAGGGTAAGGGCAAGCTAAACAGATTCTCGTGTGGGGTCCTTCCGTCAGAGTAATGAACTTCTCACTTTCTCGGCTTCGCGACACTCCAAGACAGTCCGAGAAATCGCCCAGCGTGCCCCAAAGGCCCCCAAGAGGCCCCAAGAGGCTCCCAAGAGGGCCCCAGAGGCACCCAAGACGGCCGCAAGACGGCCCCAAGACGGCCCGAAAAGAGGTCCAAGAGGGGGGCCACGAAACGAAAGTCCCAGCCTTCCGCTTCAAGTGGGCCCCAGGAGGCCTCGAGAGGCCCCATAGAGGCAACAAGAGGCGCCCAAGAGCTCCCAAAAGGCCCCAAGAGGCTCCCAAGTGGGCCCAAGAGGCACCCAAGACGGCCCAAAGAGGGCCCCAAGACGGCCCGAAGAGAGGTCCGAGAGGGGGGCCACGAACCGAAAGTCCCAGCCTTCCGCTTCAAGTGGGCCCCAGTAGGCCCCGAGAGGCCCCATAGAGGCCCCAAGAGGCGAGCTCCGAAGAGGCTCCCAAGAGGCCCAAAAGAGGCCCCGAAGAGGGGTCAAGACGGTCCCCCAGAGGCTTCAAAACTGCCTCGAACCTGCCTCCAAGAGGCCCCCCAGAAGCCTCGCACGAGATCCCAACGAGCGTCCACGAAGCCTCAGACACACATCCCAAGCACGGTGGCAGGATGCGACGAAGGCAATTAAATACATAATAACCATAAACTTTCAGAACTCCGCGCAAATTTCTTGGATCGGCGCTAGACCCCAATCCCCAATCCATGGCGCGCGAAACGCGCGAAGGGAGGCGCCGGAGGGGGCACCGACACCGATCCAAGAAATCCGTGCGGAGCTTCGGAATTTTGAAGCTGGAAGGATACCAATCACGCCAAGCCTTGTGTCTCGAGTGAGGATCGACTGCAGAGCTGCCTTGTCCCCAAGTGTTGCTGTTCGTCGACTCTACGGCACAAACAACAAATGCAGTCTTCGCAGACCCGAAAACCAGTTCACCCTTTGTTGTTCGAAAATCCGACGAACACTCACATGTCGGACGGAAGAAGAGGGTAGAAGCATGATTAGGAAAGCGGTGGAACAAAAATTGGGCTTCCGCCCGCCCCCTGAAAAAGGAGGGAAGGGGGGAAACCGCTCGACCCTTGAAGTCGGAAGGTACCTAACGTAGATTGGGATCTGGGGATCCAGGCAAACAGCCGGCCCGTATCACAAGGATGCAAGGGGCCGTGGGCGCCCGTCTCGAAGCATTTCGACCGCGGCGGTCTCAATTGCTTCTTGCGGTTATCGGGGGCGCGCAAACATGGATTAACGATCAATGGATTTGGCGCGCGGTCGCCAAATCCATGGATCGGGAGCGTTGCCCCCAAAATGCGGCTGGTGCCGCCTCGCTCGGCGGCGGACATCCGCGATTTCCAATGGAAACAGGGCCCATCGCTACTCCACGCCGGCTTGATTTAAGTCGGGCCTGTCCTCCTACAGGGGATTGGAAGAAAAAAAATCATATCCTCAAAATGCTTCAGATTGCTAAAACATAGTGTTCGACTATTTTTGAATATTCCTCCTGTAGAGGGACAGGCCCGGCTTAACCATTGATCCATGTTCGCGATCGCCTGACTGACGGCCCCCCCCCCCCCCCCGCGGCGGCCTCGCGAGAAGCCTCCACCCCCCCGCAGGCGCCCTCGCGGCCTCCATGCTCCCTCGAGAAGCCGCCCTCCTCCTCCTCCTCCTCCTCCTCCTCCTCCTCCTCCTCCTCCTCCTCCTCCTCCTCCTCCTCCTCCTCCTCCTCCTCCTCGCCTTCTGAGCAAAGGTTCCCTCCCCCTGAAGGTAGTCGACTCCCTGCTCGCCGCCTCGGCGCTCCCCGGCGCCGCGGCTCGCCCCCCGCGCTCGCGCCGGCCCGCGCCTGCTCCTCCAGGGCCTCGAGGCGCTGCCCGATGCCGTGCGCCGCGCCGGCGAAGCGCTGCTCCCAACGCTGCGCGCTGCCCTCCGCGGTCGCGTCCTCTCGCGTCCAGGCTCGCGCACGAGCATGCCGAGCTCCGCGCCGACACCGACTCCAGGGACCCTCCCCCCCTCCCTCTTGGGTCAATTTCTGTTACGCTCGCACTGCATATCTGTTCAGATGCACCAGATTCCTGATGACACGGCCTCGCCCACCTGCTCTTGGCCAGTCCCGGACGGCGTCCGCAGCTGTGTTCGTGACGTATCGTACTAGAGGGCTGAAGAATCACCCCGACAAGCAAAGCCGTCTCGTACACGCACCCAACGAAGGAATCGAGCAGGGCAAGGCTGCTTCGTAAACGCCCAGGGCCGTTGAGTAACCCGAGGAAGCATTTAAGACCCCCCCCCGGCGATATCTTAACACCGCATTTTTATTCGATATTCCGAGGGGCCGAAATAACCGAACGATAGGTTTAGCACCCGGACACAGAACAAATTCGCGGAGGCCTGGCCCCTGGAAAACGAGACGTGCTAAGAGGCCTGCTTGGGAGCCTGCTTAGACGCCTGCTCGGGAGCCTGCTCAGAGGCCTGCGTCTGCTTCTGCTTAGGAACCTGCTCAAAGGTCTGCTTCGGAGGTCTGAGAGGCCTGCTTCGGGACCTCTCTGAGAGACCTGCTGAGGACCCTTCCCAAAGAAGCTTTCCCTGCTCCTGCTTCTCCTCCTTTTCCTGCTCATGTTCCTTGTCTTGCTCCTCCTTCTCCTCCTCTCCTCCTCCTCCTCCTCCTCCTTCTCCTCCTCCTTTTCCTCCTCCTCCTCCTCCTCCTCCTCCTTCTCCTCCTCCTTCTCCTCCTGTTCTCTCTTCTGATCTGCTGGCCTCTTGGAAGAGATTTCTCATTCAAAACCCTTCTAGAAATTGATTTTCATCGGCCGTCCTAGGGGGAGGTCCACGAGAGGGTATCCCGCCCCCCCCGCACCGTGGCGTTATCTTAGCACCCGGCCACGCGAAAAAAAACACTCCAGTTCTATTCCTGCGGGTGTCCTAGGGATTCCTAAGGATTTATCTAGGATTCTTAAGGATTTCCTTACGATTCCTGCGCATTCCTAAAGCTTTCTGTGGATTCTCAGAATTCCAGAAGACTCCTTTAAATTCCTAAGGGCTCGTCAAAAAATCCAGGGGATTCCTCATGAATTTAAGGATTCCTAAGGATTCCTACAGGGTCCTCAGGATTCCTGAGGATTCCTAGAGATTCCTAAACATTCGTTCTCCTCCTTCTCTTCTCTTCCTCCTCCTCCTCCTCCATCTCCTCCTCTCCTTCCAGTGTTTCAGACTTGTGAGCGACGCTTCCATCTCATCAAGAATCCAATCTGACCTGGGCAAGACACAGGACAATCTGCCGACGATCCGTTCTGAATCAACTGGAAAGGCTGAGAAACCTGGGACAGCTGAGAAACCTGGGGAAGCTGAGAAAACTGGGAAAGCTGAGAAAACTGAGACAACTGAGAAGCTTTCCCTGCTCCTGCTTCTCCTCCTTTTCCTGCTCATGTTCCTTGTCTTGCTCCTCCTTCTCCTCTCCTCCTCCTCCTCCTCCTCCTCCTCCTCCTCCTCCTCCTCCTCCTCCTCCTCCTCCTCCTCCTCCTCCTCCTCCTCCTCCTCCTCCTCCTCCTGATCTGCTGGCCTCTTGGAAGAGATTTCTCATTCAAAACCCTTCTAGAAATTGATGTTCATCGGCCGTCCTAGGGGGAGGTTCCACGAGAGGGTATCCCGCCCCCCCGCACCGTGGCGTTATCTTAGCACCCGGCCACGCGAAAAAACAATCCAGTTCTATTCCTGCGGGTGTCCTAGGGATTCCTAAGGATTTATCTAGGATTCTTAAGGATTCCCTTACGATTCCTGCGCATTCCTAAGACTTTCTGTGGATTCCTCAGGATTCCAAAAGACTCCTTTAAATTCCTAAGGGCTCGTCAAAAATTCCAGGGGATTCCTCATGAATTCAAGGATTCCTAAAGGGGCAGGAGGAAGTTCGTGGGTGGAGGAGAGGAGGAGGAGGAGGAGGAGGAGAAGGAGGAGGAGGAGGAGGAGGAGAAGGAGGAGGAGAAGGAGGAGGAGGAGGAGGAGGGCTCCTGGTGCCAGGTAACGCTTCCAGGGCGCGGAAGGGTTATCGATTTGCCGGAAGGGGGGGGGGGTTCTTAAATGCTTCCTACGGTTACACGTCGATTGTCGGGCTCGGGCTCCCACTGGAGGGCAGAAACTACATCCCCATGATAAAATCACCCCGACAAGCGAAGCCGTTTATTAAACGCATCCAAGGAAGGCGTCGAACAGGGAGAGGCAGCTTAGCAAACGCCCAAGACCGCTCATCGACGGTGGACAATCCTCCCTTTCGTAACCCTCGCCTTAGTGAAAACGGCCTGAGACCGAAACCGAAGGACCTGAACCCGCAAACATGACGGCCGCGACGCCCTCTCGCGAACCGAGCACGGCCAGTTCACTACTCGACGCGTCGGGGTAGGAGGTCTATCAACCCCCGAGCTTAGTAAACGTCAATTGTCTGGTCCGGGTGGTTTCGAGGGCGGCAAAGAGGGGGGTGTCCAAGAGGGGGGCGGTGCAAATCATGACCGGCGGCATGTGCGCGGCCCAGCGGGGGGGCCAGGGACGTAATGAAATAAGAAGAAGCGCCATGAAATCTGGGGAAATATCATGGCCCACGCCATGAGATCCACCCCCCCCTAGTCATCACCCCCCTCTTTTCCGCCCCCGAGCTTAGCGAAAACGGCCTAAGATCGAAACCGAAGGACCTGGACCCGCAAACATGACGGCCGCGACGCCCTCTCGCGAACCGAGCACGGCCAGTTCACTAATCGACGCGTCAGGGTAGGAAATATATCCACCCCCGAGCTTAGGAAACGTCAATTGTCCGGTCCGGGTGGTTGTCCCTCCCTTCGGGAGCGGCCAAGGAGGGGGGTGTCCAAGAGGGGGGAGTGCAAATCATGACCGGCGGCATGTGCGCGGCCCAGCGGGGGGGCCAGGGACGTAATGAAATAAGAGGAGGCGCCACGAGATCTGGGGAGATATCATGGCCCCCGCCATGAGATCCACCCCCCCCTAGTCATCACCCCCCTCTTTTCCGCCCCCGACCTCACCCCCCCTCCGCGCGCCCACGCCTCCTTTTGGAGGCGGCCAGGGGGTCTGAACCTCCTCCTCCTTCTCCTCCTCCTCCTCCTCCTCCTCCTCCTCCTCCTCCTCCCCCCCCCCAGTCATCCCCCCCCTCTTTGCCGCCCCCGATGGTTGTTCCTCCCTTGACCCCCGGGGGAGCGCCCGGGGCGAGCGCACCTCTCGGTGGCGCCAGGAGGGCGTCGTGGCGCGAGGGCCGCGGCCTGCGCTCCGGGAGGTCCAAGAGCGTCTCTCGCGGCCCCCGCTGCTGCAGCCCGCGCGGGTTGGGCGTGGCTTGATGGGGGGGTCATCAATGGGGGGGTCAGAAACGGTCCCCTTTCGTGCCCCTTTCGGGCCCCTCTGGACCCCCAGGGGGCTCGTTTAGGTACCGTTTGGGTACCTTTTCGGACCACCCTCACCAACCCCCCATTTATGACCCCCCCATTACGCAACGCCCAAGCGGGGCGTTAGGGGGGGCCCCCGGGGGATCCTGGACCCTTGGAGCGTATCGCTGCCATGGCATGTCGAGTCGCTACAGTCGGGGCGGTGACCTAAGGAACCCCAAAGAAGGAACGAGGCCCCTTTTTTTCCATGCGTTCAACTTCGACTTCCCATCGAAAACTTAAGGCAAACCTTAGGCAAGGTGAGGAACAATCAAAGAACACCGAGCCCGTCCCCAACGCAAAAGGTTCCTTCTTCAACGCCCCGACTGCACTCTGGCATGATCAGGGCCTGCAGGGGGCCTGGATCAGTGCAGACGGAAGGCGGCGGGCGTGCACGTGGCCGGAGCAGAAGCCAAACATACACCCCGAAGAGAACGCGAGTTCCCCCGTCTTCCTCCGCCCCCTCCCCCTCCCCCTCCTCCTCTGGCTATCCACTGCTCCCCCCTGCCCCGATGCCTCCCCATCCCCCACCTCCTGCAAATTTCGCACCTTCCCTCCAACGCTGGGCCGCCTCGTGCTGCGCAGGAAAACTCCATGATCCGTAAACCCTCCTCCTCATCCTTCCCCCCTGGCTGTCCTGAGGTGACGTCCTCCTTCACACACCCCTCCTGTGGTTGCGTCCTCCTGCTCCTCCTCCTACTCCTCCACGCGCCCCTCCTGAGGTTCTGTCCTGAGGCTTCGCCTTGCTCCATACCACCCAACTTCGCGCGGTGCGCGGTCATATCCGCGCCCTCGAGCCGCTCCTGGCTATCGCTCGGACGTCCATTCCTGTTGTTTTTGCGGCTTCGTGTGCGGCATTTTCGCCAGATGACCAAGGATGCTCCTCGATGGTCCTCGCCGAAAGGAAAATTCTCACGAGGAGGAGGAAGGAGGAGGATGAGGAGGAGGAGGAGGGTCCGAGCGATGCCAAGGCTCATCCTGGTGCCAAGGGGCACCTCTCCGCGGCCGGGGCCGCGAAGCGCGCGAAAACCGCGCGCGTCTCCGCGCCAGCACACGGGTGTGGCCCAGGATGGCCAGGGCGAGAACGATGTCATGATCGAAGGGGCCCCAGGACACACAAAGAAAGACACACAAATGAAAAGATTCCCTAAATGTTCCCATATGTTCTGGTTTTTTGTCTTCCCCCCCCAATTCCAATATGTTTCCATGTTTTCTGGGGAGTCGACGATTAATTGTGTCTGTGTGTTTCTTTCCCTCCTGAATGATGTCATGATATGACTGGCTCAGGGATGCGGCCAAAGCTGATGGTGAAGATGCACGATCCGGACGCAAGTGCCTTGAAAGGCCACGTCGAAACTTTTCGAACGGGCTGGCCACAAAACGTGGTTGAGGATGGACCGAAGATTACCGGAGATAATCGAATGCAAGGGTACCCTGGGGACGTCGATCCTATATTTTTGTTTTACGAGTTTTGACTACACGTTCTAGGACTTCCAAGAAGCTTCTTGCGGCCCTCGTTTCTGTTCTCCCCTTCTTGAGCATCAAGAAGTCTGGGGACTCTGGAAATCTTGGGACGTGTCACTATCATGATCGCTTGCCCCTCTGAATGGCGGGACTCAACGGGAGGATAGGTCGGTGGCAACTCACGGGAACTTCCCATACCATCGTGTTGGCCCTTGCGAACCGACGCTGTCGACAATAACCGACGCTAGCTTGACGCGAAGTTGACGCTAGCTGGCACTTATCGACGCTAAATCGGCGCTACCCCATCGATCACACAACACTAATCGGCGCCAATGTGGGCCAGCTAATGGAGCCCTCGTTGCCTCTCGCTCCTGGGCCTTTTTCGGCGGTCTTCGGACGGTCTTCGGCACTCGTCGGCGGTCTTGGGCTCGTCTTAGGCGGTATCTGGCGGCTTCCAGCGGTCTTCGACGCGAAAACGATTTAGTGGCGTTCAACCAGGGGTCCAGCCGGGAAAACAAAAATCGGCGAAGAAATCCGGACCCTACCCTCTCCGATCAACTACTCAGGCAACCCAATGGGCGGAGAGGTACGTTTCGGAAGCGGTCGAGCACGTGGCGAAATCCAAACCCTACCCCAACCTCCCATCGATTCAGGAGATTCGATGACTGATGGCGGTAATTTCGGATACCGCCACCACCGCAAGAAGCAACGCAGTGGCAACCGCGATGGAGACCCAGATCTGCGGGTCAGTCCTGCTGGGAAGTGCGGCCCGTCGGACTTGAAAGGCGCATGCGGCAGAGTGGACCTCATTGAGAGCGTCGGACACGTCCCAGTGTCTTTGGACCCGCAGGCATCAGCAAAGAGCTCCACGTGCTTGCCAGGCGGAATGGCGACAGCAAAGAGCTCCACGTGGTTTCCAGGTTGATCAGCAAAGAGCTTCTTTGGACCCGAGGAAACGACGACACATTCCTGCCTCGGCCATCGCCTCGGCCCTCGACCGAACGAATCGCAACGAAGCGGAACGATCATGCGAAGCCGGCCATGGCCAGCCACGGCCACGCAAAACGGCCCGGTGCATCGACAGCCAACGCAGAACGCCTGGCTCGCTCGGGTGCCAGAATGCGTGGATGGGCGCAACATTGTCCTGCTTGTCCAGCTCGTGCGTTGCAGCCGATTGCAGCCATCTGATTATGTCATTGCGGTCGCAAGCCCTGCGTGACGTCCAGTGTTGAATGCCCATGCCGTGGTGGAGATGATTGAGAAACTGGCGGGTATCGTCAGCCCATCTCTCCAGCTGGTCCCCATGATACCGAGGTCCATTTTGGCAGACATCGAGGCTCGGGTGCCCATGGACAACGCGCTGAGGCTTGGAAACCAAAAAGCAATCCCCGGACCTCTCCCAGGGTGCGTTCTGACCAGAATCTCCCGGCAAATCCAACGGTGGCGGCGAGGGCCTCCCAAGAGGACCCAAAGGAGAAAACCAAGGGTGCATCTCGATGTCATGTTATCTGCCTTGCCGTTCAATCGTGTCACTTCTGTCTGTTCGTAAGGGCCTCTGCTTGCTGCGTTGCCCGCTTGGTGTACTCAGCGCCTGGTTCCGGATCCTCGTTCCCAGGCTGGGGATGGGCAGTCGGTGGGTGCCTGTCTGCGTCGTCTCCAATGGCACTCCCTTGTGGAGAAACTTTCAAAGCAATGCACAGCAATGCAAAGACATGGCATACCAAGCAAGGTAAACGCCTGGCAATGCCAAAAACAATGCAAAGGAAGGCATCGCGATTCACAAGGCCAAGCAACGGTTCCAAGCAGGGCGGTAAGCTAGTATCAAATAGTGCCAAGCAATGCCACGCAGCGCCAAACGAGGCCACGCACGCAATGCCACGCAACGCCAAGGAATGCAATGGAATGGAAAAACAATGGCAAGCAATGCCAAGGAACGCCACGCAACGATAGGCAACGATTCCAAGCAATTACAAGCAGCGATTCCAAAGTATGCCACGCAATGCCAAGCAACGCCAATACATGCCAAACAATGCCAGGCACGAATTGTTAGCACTGCCAGGCAACGTCAAGCAAAGCGAAGCAAAACGATGCAATTATGTTGCATCGCATCGCTTATAGCTGTTGTGACTAAGTGACTACTTGGGGTCGCGCAGGGTTCCTTTGCAGAAGAGCTTGTATACCAAAGAAAAATTGCACGTACATCTGTAGTAATGTAAGTGTGCAGGGTATCTGGCATTAGGCATAGCTGGGACGCCTGCCTGCCGCCAGCTTTCTGAGGTTGGCGCGTGTGGTTGGAAAACAATGTTTTGTGGAGCAGTGACAGGCCTTCCGAATGGGGCCAGAGTAGACGAGGTCGGCGGAACGCATCGCATCGCCGATGCATCGATGCTGTATACGGCAAGTTCGTGTCGTGCCGACTTCGGCGTTGGTTCCCGACACTGCGGGGATCATTCAACCTTGAACGATCGGCAATTTCCGAAACGTCGGATCGCTCAACATCGGCAGATTCTCGGTCGCAGGCGGCGTTCCACGTTGAACACCGGCGGCGGGGCCGCTACCGATCGACCCGGTGCGAACCTGCCGTAGGCAATGCATCGGCGATACATCGGCGGCGTCGATGATGCATCGGCGCCGCCAGCGTGGAGCAACTCGGACTTCGTATTGAGCCGCATCGCCGAGGCATCGGCGATGCGGCGCGATTCTCCGACCCCATCTCGGCGACAGAGCGCCTCCGTCTCGACTTGATCGCGGCGACTCGCTTCAGACCACGGTGGTCGTCAAAGAGAGCACGGTCGGACCTAGGCCAGAAGAACATCTTCAAGAGCACGAGACACCCGGTTGGCCAAAACCGATGAACATTCGAGAAAGCCCTTCCCCAGGATGCAAAGAACAACCAACAAACCGCGCGCCCCCAGGAGGAGGAGGAGAAGGAGCCTCCCCTCCCTGGTTTTGGCCCCGTGTCCGACGATTCGGATTAAAGGGATGTGAGCAGGGTGACCCGCGACGGCGTCCCTTTGGGCGTGGTCGCAGGTCGTCCCTGCTCTGTCCCCAGTTTTCAGCGTCCCCCCTCCAAAAAAAACATGAAGGTGCCCTCCCCGAACCGACCTCGATCTTATACCTTGATCCGGCTACATATACCAATTCATGCCCGTCTCGCAGTTCATCTGTTTTTGCCGCACGTCTTGTTGCATGTGCCCGCTCATGAGCTGTCGCGCTAAGGTCTCGGTTGGTGCGTGCTTTCGTAGCTGGGTAGATGTTTGTACAGCAGCAGGGACACCACGACTAAGCTGTGTGAGGGGAATAGCGCGTAAATAGCGCGTACACTGGACGATCCATCCTGGGCCATTCCTACTTCCTCCCCAGTGCTAGCCTACGAATGCCTGACGATGCTCCATCGCAACGCTGCCCCGAGAGCAAGCCTCTGCTCAAGGCCGCGACTCGGGCGCACGCTAACACTGACTTTACGGATCCGTGAGTCTGGTGCGTGGGCGCCGGAGACCCACGGATCGGGGAAGGCACGCCCGGAGGCATGATAACATGATGCCAATGCCGCCTGACTCGGCGACGGAGCGCGCTGGTTCTGTATGGAAACAGGGGGCCGTCGCTAATTCACGCGCCTTGGTCCATGTCTGCGCTGCCGCGAGAAGCGCGGCCGCCCTCGCTGCCCCTGCGGGGTGACGGAGGTGGAGACGGAGGAGGAGGAGGAGGACCAGTGAAAACCGCGAATCAGCGAAACTGTTGCACCCTCATAATCCTGAATACATGAGAACCCGTGGAACTCATGCACATGTCACGAACGAATGTGCGCGGCGCTAAGGTGAGAGCCACATGTTGAAAAGGAACCGCACTCTATCCGCGAAACTCTTGCAAATATTAAAAACGGATGTGCGCGGCGCTAAGGCAAAAACCACATTTTGAAAACCACCCGCCCTCAATCCGGGAAGCCCTTTCAAATTCTTAAGACGGGTGGGCGCGGCGCTGAGGCAAGAACCACAGTGTGAAAAATAACCGCCCCCAGCCCATGAAACTCTTGCAATGTTTTAAACGAATATGCGCGGTGCGAGGGCGAGAACCACATTTTGAAAACCACCCGCCCTCAATGCGTGAAGCTCTTGCAAATAAAAAATTCGCGGCGCTGAAGCGAAAACCACATTTTGAAAACGCCCCACCCGCAATCCGGGAAAGTATTATCAGGTTTGAAGCTTCAGGGTCATGAATGGTGAGGGGAACTCAGGCGAAACGCCTGGCCCTAAAAACTGGCCTCGGGGTGCGACGGGGAGAAGCTGTCTATAAGGAAAAGGAACGGAGGAGGAGGAGGAGGAGGAGGAGGAGGAGGAGGAGGAGGAGGAGGACTGGATGGTGGGGGCGGCGGGGGGGGCGCGGAGGCGGGATGGCGGCGAGGCGGTCCAGCTTGTTGCCCATGTCCCGCAGCTCGCCCGCCAACTTCGAGCTCTCCTGGCCGCCCGCCGCCGCGCCAGCAGCCGCGACGGCGCGGTGCGCGCGCGCGCGGGCTCCGCCTTTGCCGCCTGCCGTCGTCCCCGCGTCCTGCGGCCTCCCCCGCACCTCCTCCTCCTCCTCCTCCGCGTCCTCCTGCGGCCTGCCTCCCTCCCCCTCCACGCCCCCATTCCACGCCCCTCCACATGCCCAACCGCCCCGCTCCCCTCCCCTGTCTCCCCCCCGTTCCCCCCTCTCCCCTCTCCCTCTCCTCCTCCCGTCTCCTGTCCCCTGATGGCATGAGGTCCCCACGGGTGCTGCCAGTGCTCCTCCTCATCCAGCTCCTGTTCCTCCTTCTCCTCCTCTTCTTCCTCCTCCTCCTCCTACTCACCTTCCTCTTCTTCATCCGCCTCCTCCTCCTCCTCCTTCTCCTCCTCGTACTCCTCCTCCTCCTCCTCTTCATCCTCGCCCTCGTCCGCATCGTCCACCCTGCGCGTCTTCGCCCGTCCCCTCCAAGCTGCTGCTGCTCCTCACCATGCCTCTTCCGCATTCCTCGTTCCTTCTGTCTCTCCTCCCTCACGGTCCTCCCCACTCACCCTCCTACACCTCCCTCCTCCTCCCCCCTCCTGTTTCCCTCCGACACCCCTTCCCATCTCCTCGCCACCTCCACGTCTTCCTCTTCCTCCTCGCCTATTCCTCGTCCCGCACAGACACCCTGGAGGGGGCAATGCTTGGGCTCCCGCGGAAGTCCAGGGCGCAGGGGGGAGGATGTGTGCTCAGAACGTGGTGGAGGGTACGACCTCGAACTGCTTCATGCGTATGTGTTTGTTGTGCGCGCATGGTTTGTGTGTGTGCGTGTGTGTCTGTGTGAACGTGCGTGCGTGCGTGTGTGTGTGTGTGTGTGAGGTGTGTGTGGTGTGTGCGTGTGGTGTGTGGTGTGTGTGTGTGTGTGTTGTGTGTGTGGTTGTGGTTGTTTGTGTATGCGCTTGTGTTTGTGGTCGTGCGTGTGCTTGTGTGCGCGCGTGTGTGTGTGTGTGTGTGTGTGCGTGTGTGTGTGTGTGTGTGTGCGGTTGTGTGCGGTGTGTATGTGCGTGTGTGTGAGTGTGTGTGTGTGTGTGCGCGCGTGTGTGTGTGGTGTGTATATGGGTGTGGTGTGTGTGGTGTTTGTGCGTGTGGTGGGTGTTCGTGTGTGTGGTTGTGGCTGTGGTGATGTGTGTGTGTGTTTGTGTGGGCGTGCGCGTGTGTTTGTGTGTGGGTGTCTGGGTGCACGTTTGTGTGTATGTGTGTGTTTGTGTGTACGTGTGTGTGTGTGTGGATGTGTGTGTGTGTGGATGTGTGTGGATGTGTGTGGATGTGTGTGGATGTGTGGGTGAGTGGATGTGTAGATGAGTGGATCTGTGGATATGCGGATGTGTGGATGTGTGGATGTGTGGATGTGTGGATGTGTGGATGTGTGTGTGTGTGGGTGTGTGTGTGTGTGTGTGGGTGTGTAGGTGTGTGTGTGGGTGTGTGAGAGGGTGTGTGTGTGTGTGGGTGTGTGTGGGTCTGTGTCTGGGTGTGTGTGGGTATGTGTGTGTGTGGGTGTGTGTGGATGTGTGTGTGTGTGGATGTGTGTGTGGATGTGTGTGCGCGTGTGTGTGTGCGTGTGTGCGCGTGTGTGCGCGTGTGTGTGCGCGCGTGTGTGTCAAGCTAGCCAGCTCGAGCGAGTCAAGCATGGCATTCCCATTCCCACCCGCCCTCCCACAACATAAGAACCATTGGTGGCACAACTGGGGGCTGCGCGGGCAGTTCAGTGCGAGTGGAGGATACCCCAGGACACCGCATTTACGTCCGCGCGGGATGTGCGCCGCGTCCCATTCCCGCCACGCATTTCGCATCGTCGACGACAAGACTGGCCATGTTGAAATGAACAACGGACACGTTCCGCCCTCCCACAACATACGAAACAATGCTGGCGCAACAGGGTGCTGGCGCGTAGTGATAATATTAGTAGTAGTAGTAGTAGTAGTAGTAGTAGTAGTAGTAGTCGTCGTAGTAGTCGTAGTAGTAGTAGTCGTAGTAGTAGTAGTAGTAGTAGTAGTAGTAGTAGTAGTAGTAGTAGTAGTAGTAGTAGTAGTAGTAGTAGTAGTAGTAGTAGTAGTAGTAGTAGTAGTAGTAGTAGTAGTAGTAGTAGTAGTAGTAGTAGTAGTAGTAGTAGTAGTAGTAGTAGTAGTAGTAGTAGTAGTAGTAGTAGTAGTAGTAGTAGTAGTAGTAGTAGTAGTAGTAGTAGTAGTAGTAGTAGTAGTAGTAGTAGTAGTAGTAGTAGTAGTAGTAGTAGTAGTAGTAGTAGTAGTAGTAGTAGTAGTAGTAGTAGTAGTAGTAGTAGTAGTAGTAGTAGTAGTAGTAGTAGTAGTAGTAGTAGTAGTAGTAGTAGTAGTAGTAGTAGTAGTAGTAGTAGTAGTAGTAGTAGTAGTAGTAGTAGTAGTAGTAGTAGTAGTAGTAGTAGTAGTAGTAGTAGTAGTAGTAGCCCTGCGTTGCCGAAATATTGTTCCAAGACGCCCAACATGGCCTCGAGACGGCCGTAGCGCCAAGAAACCGCGGGGAGCCTCAAGAGGCCCTCCAAGAGCCTGAACAAGCGAAAACCTCCCAGGCATTCGTCACCCAAGGGCCTCCTGGAACGCCCCTGCGCTCAATGAGTGGGCGAGCTAAAAACGTGCGCCGAGCCAAAACGGGAGCGCAACTTTGAGAACATTTCGCTCGGCGCCCAAGCGAGAAGGTCATTTCATTCACTTCGAGCGGGGGGGTACGGGGGTGTGCCGCGCCCAATTCTTGCCATGCACTTTTGCGGGGTGGGCGACAAGAACAGCTAGCTATGTGGGCAGGGCAAATCAGCATGGCACTGTTTCTGGCAACTACGGTGGCCCCTCCCGCCTTGGGGTTGCCCCATAAGTCCGCGCGCGATGTGCGCCGCGCCCCATTCCTGCCACGCATTTCGCATCGTCGACGGCAAGACAGGCCATGATGAAAGGAAAATTGACAACTCTGTTTTTTTTTACAGTCAGGATGGGAGGGCCCGCAGCCCGCATGGACGTCCGCGCGCGATGTGCGCCGCGTCCCATTCCTGCCACATATTTCGCACCGTCGGCGACAAGGCAGGCCATGCTGAGAGGAAAAAGCGGAGACTTTGTATTGATTTTTTCTGGTCAGGATCGGCGAGCCCGGATTGACGGCCGCGCGCGATACGCGCCGCGTCCCATATGTGCGCCGCGTCCCATTGGCGCCACATATTTCGCACCGTCGGCGACAAGGCAGGCCATGCTGAGAGGAAAAAACGAAGACTGTGTATTGATTTTTTACAGCCAAGATGGGCGGGCCCAGATTGAGTGCCGCGCGCGATGTGCGCCGCGCCCCATTCCTGCCACGCTTTTCGCATCGTCGACGACAAGCGGCCACTTTGTATTGATTTTTTACAGTCAAGATGGGAGGTCCCGGATTGGGTTGCTATCGGCCGGAATACGAGGTAGGTGGGGGTATATGATAATAAGGAACAAGGATGTGCGTGCCTGTGCGTGCGTGTGTGCCTGTGCCTGTGCCTGTGCCTGTGACTGTGCGTGTGCGTATGCGTGTGCGTGTGCGTGTGCGTGTGCGTGTGCGCGTGCGTGTGCGTGTGCGTGTGCGTGTGAATGTGTGTGTGCGCGTGTGCGAGCGTGCGTGCCTGTGCCTGTGCCTGTGCCTGTGCGTGTGCGTGTGCGTGTGCGTGTGCGTGTGCGTGTGCGGTTGCGTGTGCGTGTGCGTGTGCGTGTGCGTGTGCGTGTGCGCGTGTGCGCGTGTGCGCGTGTGCGCGTGTGCGCGTGTGTGCGTGTGTGCGTGTGTGCGTGTGTGCGTGTGTGCGTGTGTGCGTGTGTGCGTGTGTGCGTGTGTGCGTGTGTGCGTGTGTGCGTGTGTGCGTGTGTGCGTGTGTGCGTGTGTGCGTGTGTGCGTGTGTGCGTGTGCGTGTGCGTGTGCGTGTGCGTGTGCGTGTGCGCGTGCGCGTGTGCGCGTGTGCGCGTGGCGCGTGTGCGCGTGTGCGGTGTGCGTGTGCGTGTTGCGTGTGCGTGTGCGTGTGCGTGTGTGCGTGTGCGTGTGCTGTGTGTGTGCGTCGTGCGTGTGCGTGTGCGTGTGCGTGTGCGTGTGTGTGTGCGTGTGCGTGTGCGTGTGCGTGTGTGTGTGTGTGTGCGTGTGCGTGTGCGTGTGCGTGTGCGTGTGCGTGTGCGTGTGCGTGTGCGTGTGCGTGTGCGTGTGCGTGTGCGTGTGCGTGTGCGTGTGCGTGTGCGTGTGCGTGTGCGTGTGCGTGTGTGTGTGTGTGTGTGTGTGTGTGTGTGTGTGTGCGTGTCTGTGTGTGGGACATCCTTGAAGCACCAGTGAACCTGTTGCTGCCTTTGCTTGTGAGTTCGCGCCGCGCCCGCACGTTTGCCACACAACGGAGGAGGATAGCAGAGCAGAGCAGCACCCATGGTCCGATAGAGTGCCTGAGACCAAAGGACGACGACAGAGGGCTCAGACATGGCAGAATGAGCGATTTGGGTCGACGAATCCCCCCTAAGCCTAACCTTGCCCCTGAGGGTTGGAGAGCACGTGCTGACAGCCGTCGGGCGGTCGAAATGTCGCTGGTTGGCGGCGTTGGCCACAACGTAGGTCAACAACAAACTACGCACTTCCAGCCTCGTGCTGCGGGACACGCGGTTATCTTCGCGTCCACGCCTGGGGAAGAGCGCGCGAGCGTCGTCGCGCCCCCGGTGCGTGAGCTGCAGCGTAGCTCACTCGACAAAAAGCTCTTGCTACAAGAAATCTACGGGCCACATCATCAGTCGACTTTGAGCTTCGTGAGGCGCCCAAGGGTATTTAGGCCCATCGGGGGACCAGCAATCTCCATGGGTCACCTGTTGGCCGGCCAACTGCTGTGGTGTGCCTACTGCGAGTGACGACCGCGGCCAGTAATGATGGCGGTGGCAGCGACGGCGATAACGCTAACCATGACACACGCCTGGGCGCAAATATCTCCC